TGGTGCATCTGGTCAGCCTGCAAAACCCAAGCAGCCCACCTGTTTCTGCTGCCAGCTACTCTCAAACGTTCAGCTTGCCCTAAGGAACAGCAGTCCACAAGCTGAGAGTCCTTCCAAAGGTAACAACAGGCTTTCCTTTCCTCCCGTATAGATTTTTACACTCATTTCTAAAGCATCAATCAGGTGGATTGAAACTTGGCTTGAGTTCTATGCACCATTAAAAAGTGCTGAGACAGAGATTTGCTGGATCAATTTTGGTCATAATTTGTGATCACTTTCACAACTTCATGAATTGAAAACTTTTTTTCCCCCCTAAGGAGGGACTGCTAGTCTGCTATTAGTTACTGGTGGATTTTCTTCTGTGCGTCTTCCTTAACATCCCTCTGAAAGGGCTATTAGGATCCTGACTTTTCTCATTAGCTTCTCTGATTTACCTTCCTTAGTTTGTTTTCCTTTTTCTTTTTGCTTGGTCATGTGTCTGCCTGAAACCCAACTCTTTGCATGGTCTCAGAAGAGACCTGGAAAAGAAACACAGCCCTAGGCACAGAACTTCAGCAAGAAGATGCATTCATACCGTAAGAGGACACACAGGGTCTGGGATTACACTTCTGCATTTCTGAAACAACAGAAGCTTGAAAAGCTTCTGAAAATAGTTTATCAAGTAAAGCATGAGACATTAAGCAGTTCACCTTTTCTAAATCTCAAGTTTTCCCTATAGACACTTAGAACAGACTTCTGCATTGTTGAAAGATACAATAAGCCCTGCTTGAAAAGCATGTTAGACTATTCCTCAACATTACAAAACAATGTAAACTACACTACAGAGACACTATGCTACTTTTAGTGCCCTGAAAATCTTGCAAACTACTCCACAGCTTTCACTCCAGTGGCAATGCAATTCCAGCAATCCCTTTCCTGTGCTGTCTCACCACATTGCTCTAGCTACACAAGCAACAGTTCATGCCGTAACATTAATTCAATTTATACATCTATTTTTATTAGCTATTCAAATTCAAAAGGGTGCTCATCACCCGTTTTTATCACAGAAACTTTGGGTTTCAAGCCAGAGCACTTACTTGAGCACTGAAGCCAAGGATTCAACTACTGCATTAAGAAGGGAATCACAGAATGTCCAGGGTTGGAAGTGACCACAAGGATCATGAATCTCCAAACCCCCTTGCCACATGCAGGGCCAACCTCCACATTTAATACCAGACCAGGCTGCCCAGGGCCCCATCCAACCTGCCCTTGAACACCTCCAGGGACGGGGCATCCACAACCTCTCTGGGCAGCCTGTTCCAGCACCTCACCACTCTCTCTGTAAAGAGCTTCCCCCTGATATCCAACCTAAATTTTCCCTCCCTCAACTTGAAACCATTTCCCCTTGTCCTGCAGTTATCTACCATTTCGAAGAGTTGATTCCCCTCCTGTTTGTGGGCTCCCTTTAGGTACAGAAAGGCTGCAATGAGGTCACCCTGCAGCCTTCTTTACTCCAGGCTGAACAAGCCCAGCTCCCTCAGCCTGTCTTCATATGGGAGGTGCTCCAATCCCCTGATCATCTTTGTGCCTCTTCTCTGGACCCTCTCCAACAGCTCTCTGTCTTTCTTGTACTGGGGGCTCCAGACATGGACACAGTACTCCAAGGGAAGGTTGACCTCAACATCCAAGAGCAGCAAGTGGCTTCTGTGCCACCAACAGCAGCAGCCCGTACCCAGGAGATCACCTCTCAAGTTCAGTTTCCCCTCTACCAGTAGACCCTGGATGCTGGTCATTATTTTGAACACTGTATAAATAACCACATGGCCCTTTAGGTATTTTTTTCCTCTTAAACTGACTTGCCTTTTCTTCCCCAAAATCCTCTCACAGGAACAGCTAAGAGGAATATAAACATGTAGCTAGTTACTCCCTATATAGAATGGTACCTGTACAAATACTGATATGCAGCAATAGTCACCTTTACTATTCTGCAAGCAGTCAGCAAATGGTCAAGGTCTGTGACTATAAAACCTGTGTTCTTGATACACAGCTATCAGCAACATGCAGGATTAAAAAAAAAAAAAAACAACAAGAGAACAAGGACTACCTGCTATTAAATTTGTGGGATATTAGGACGCACAGTGGGTATGAACCAAAACCTCTTATTCCTTAAAGTCAGATGTTTACTTGGAATCCTACAATTGTTCAAATGATAGTATATTTTGTCCCCTGTATTACAGGACTTGTGCTTATCTACACCATAATTGACTGTATTTCTATTACCATAAATCATTTTCTACACTCAGGAACACAGAAAACATGTTCTGTACTAAATAACATCCTTGTTGTCTCTATCAGATACGTTCCGCAAAGGAAAACTGAAGCTTTTAAAGGGCATTCATTTTAATTTTGTCCAAGATGCAGGTTAACATCAGGGGCAGAACTCATCCTTGGTATAAATCTTTCTGACTAGTTCCTGATTTGCTGCAATTTTTATTGTATTAGAGGGCTGTTCTACCCACACACACTACTGTTTCAGAATAGCAGGCTCCATTTGCAAGATCCCAACTCTCCCTCCCCAAGGGCCAGGCTCACTGCTGCCATTTTTGTGCTGAGCTGAACTTGTTTATTTGTAACCAGCCATTAAACTGACATCCTGGATTTGTTGAGAGAGCAGCAGCAGGCAAGCATGTGCTCAATAGCAGTCACATTCAGCAGCAGTGCTGCCCGAAAGGAGGAGGATTGCCCTTTTGACTCCTCTCTTTGATTCATATTCTCATTTCGAGATACAAATCCATCTGCCAAGAGCCTTCCCCCTTGAGTGGGAAGGTTGAATTGGTTGTCTCATTGTTTCCTCCCCACTCAGAAAAAGTGTCAAATCTTTCAAAAGCACCTTTCCATTAGATCACAAAGAAGTTTCCTGCCTTGGATTTTGTCTGAACAGTAATGATGTGTTCCTACTGCACACAAAAAATAAGAACTAATTCTTCAGGGTCTTTGAGTAACATACTTCCAGAAACAAAGCAAGCAAACCCTCAATCACTCAGTTATCCAAGATTTGAACAGTGAGTTGTTCATAGAGGGAGGAGGAAGATGAAGCAATTTAAAATACATGAAAGCAGACTATTGCAATTTTCAACCATGTACTGTGAGGTAAATGGTATTTCTATCACATTCCTATGTATGCTAAAGTGCTAAATATAGTCTCTGGACTGAACATTAATAATTCTCCACACATCTGCTGCATTGCACTATTTAACAGATTAACTGTTCTTGAAACTCTATCTTTTTTTTCCTTCCCAGAAGCCATATAAACTAAAGCTGTCTGCTTTTGCAGATTTTTCTCCTGGATGCCTTTCTCCCTTTGGCTGCTGGCATTTACTGCAGAAGCACAAGGACTGAAGACCATACATGATGCTTTCCTTCTGCCCAAGTGCAGTGGCAGCGAGAAGCCCAGTGGTGCCCGTCCTATGAAGCCCAAGCACAACTGAAAGATCCTAAAGAGCTCAGAAAATTCTCTTTTCCGAGTGCCGAAAGAGCTCAGATGTCACACAATGGTAACATACAGCTTGGAAGGAAGAAATTAAACACGTTAATTAAGAGTAAAAGAGACAAAACTTGTAGTAGCTCATCCTGAGTGACCCTTATTTAATTAAGTTACTTGGAATTATGCTAATTTAATTTTCACTGAACATAAATTCTCTATCCACATTTTTCCGTTGTCAAGCCTTGGGCAAGTTTGTTAGCCAGAGCTAACAAACTCGGCACTGTTATCTAAAACATACTGATGTTTTCTCCAGAAAATGCTAATCAGTGATGGCATGCATATCATATATCTTGAGAAATAATACTAACACAAACAGCAATCTCAGTAAATGGAAAATACGTTCAGTTTTCACAGGAAGAGATGACTATACAAAAAATTCTATAGTTGCAAAGGTTTGTCACACATCAAAAAAGATCGAAAGATCCATTATTTGCCACACAGCAGTAGGGACCTTCTGCTGTGACTGAACTCTCACACTAAAACCCAAACTCACTGTTATTACAATCACATCCAAAGTACACCGTCACAAATGCTACAGACAGGTAAGGAAGCTGTGAATTTGGATCACTACAGCCTCCAAACAGCACAAAACTTATATACAGTAATAATGAAATCACTTTAAATACAAACAACTTAAGATAAATTTGTTTAGCTCCACATCACCCTCAAGAATTACACTGCCTCCCCTCATTTTGACAAAGTTGTATCATTAATGATTGGCTTGGATATTAAAAAAACGCTAAATGATGAAGCCTATTAACTAGGGTAAATGAGAGCTCTGCAGTTTTAAAAATAATAAAGACACGTTGTAAATGGGCCCAGTCTTTCAAAATATGCTATGATTTCAACTTCTGAATTACTGCATGAAACTGCTTTGCAAAAAAACAAAAACAAAAACAAGCCAACAATGAAACGCATTAATTAAATGACCCAAATTAAGTTTCTTTCCCTTTTAAATAAAAGCATATAATCAAATGACTGAGGGCTCAAAAAGATTTTAATTAGAAAACTAAAATCTCTACCAAACCTGAAAATATTTGCTCAAAAGCAACACTTCATACTCAGAAAAGCTTTTCCTTGCTATCCATAGGCAAATAGCAATAGTTGAACATCTCCAAGCAATTGTGTACACCTCAGAACACAGACTCACTGAGCACTGGGGTGATTATTAATAAAATGGCAGTTGTGAAGTTTGCATATTACTGACATTGTTGAAGCAGTTTGGAGTTACAGTGAAACTTCGGGTCTCACAGCTTTTAGGATCCTATCTAAAGCATTTGATGGTGCCTTTTCCAAGCCAAACTGTAAGGCACTAGGACCAAACAGGAAGGGACCTGTGTGCTGGCCAAGCAGCATCCACGTTTGGATGCAATTCACACCCCTGTAAAAACACAGCAGAACTGCCCTACTCCTTCCTTTTGCCAGCTGGGAAGGCTCAGCCCCATGTTCCAAAAACTAAGCAGGTGCTGCTGCCTACCTGTTTCATCAGGAGAGCTCGGCGAAGCGCTGTCCTGGGACAGTGTAGTCCAGCTGGAGTCCTCATCACTTGGAGCCAGGTTCTGAATCCTGTGCAGTGCGCAGTCTGTTTTGGCCCCCGTTTTGGGATGGTCCTTCTTAGTCTCAGGACTCGAGGACACTGTGGCAGTTTGGCCATCCTCTGGGCTTGACTGCTTGTTTTGCTTCCGGGGCAAGACTTCCCCATTGACAATAATGGTGGAAGCCTGGCTGTTGTTTTGTGCAGATTTATCTTCCATTGCAGCAAAGCTCTGCTCCAGCTCTCTGGTAGATGTCTCCAGGTCTGCATAGTAATTCAGGAAGCTCTTGGTCCTCCTGGGCTGTGAGGGCAATATTTCACAGCTGGAGGAGTCCTGTGGGATCGGCTCTTTGCCTTCAAACTTCTCAGAAGTCACACTGACGCCAGCCGTGGTGTTGAGGTTCTTGTTGGGATCCTGCTGGCCTTGCTCAGCAGCTTTCCTCAGCTGGTTTTCTCCATTCTTCACCAGCTTCATATTGGCAGAGCTGCTCCCCAGGAGGGGCTGCGCTGCCGGGTCTGAGAGGCCCATGGCTGTCTGGATGTTAGTCAGCGCGTACTTCTTCCTGCATTTCGGAGGAGTGCTGTTCTTGCTCTCGGTGTGCCGGATCTCAGCGTTCAGCAGCTCGTTGTGAGAGGAGCGCAGGCTGAGGGTGTTGGGCGGCGTGGCAGGGCCGTTGCGATTCACCACGTCTGTCGTGCTGCTGCTTGCCATAAACACTGCCAGCGCGTCCACACCGGAATCGACTAGGAAAGCAACAGAGGCAGCAATGAAACACTTGTGTTATGTAGTATTTTGGCTTCTGCTAGAATCACTGTAATCTACGTGGGTAAGAGAACAAAAAAACAGCTTAGCTTATAAAATAGAGAAAAACAGGCAGAGAAATACAATGAGATCATCACCATGGAGCTGAGAAGACAAGCAGAAGGCTTGACCCTGTATCAGTGAGGTGTTTCTTCATGTCTGAGCTCCTTCATGCCCATCAGGCTGGGGACAAGGAGAACAGCCCTCAGCAAATGCATCAAGGCCCAGGAGCTGTCCCCTGCTCTCGTCTCATTCCAGGACTTCACCACTACCTCGGGGGTGCAAGAGGGGAACAACTTCTCTGGTGCCCATTACTAGGAAGCAGTAAATCAGAGACATTTCTCAATAGATTGTGCACAGATGTTGCTCCTTCTTCATTTTCTGTCAGTATGATTGCCCACTCAGCCCCTGCCTCCTCACACCTGAAATTTACATTATTTTTTTTCCTTCCCCTTTATGGGAAAGGGTAATGAAAGTTCTGAGCATTGCAGGCTCTTAGTGAGGGTGTTTATTGAGTCCCTTACAACAGGAAGGGCTACTCATAATACAGCGATTCCTCGGTAACCCTGTAATTATTTTATATATTTGAGGGCCTGGTGGTGATGGGTTGATGGTTGGATTGAATGATCTTAAAGGTCTTCTCCAACCTTAATGATTCTCTGCTTCTACGGCAGAAGAGTGACAAGGAAGATAGAAAGATGAGGAAACAACTGGTGCCCCTTGTTTGACACAGCACTGTATTACACAAAACTGTACTTGAGTCCAGGGTGGGGTAGAGTGCTTTGGATCCCTCCATAAAATACCCTGCTCTAGTTCAATCAGCTTAAAGAAGGAAAAGAAAAAAAAGGTCCACTTCAGAGATGAAGTTGGCTCACTATTTCTACAGCTTGCAAGCTTCAAACTTAAGTATACAAGATGCATCCTAAGAGGCAGTACATGTATTTCAGTGTTAAATAGAAACCATGTTTTGCCTACTTATAGTCAAGTTTCTGATTTTGATCAGCTGAGGTACAGTTCACATTTCAAAAAATATGAAGTTTCTTCAGGGAATAGATTTTTAGACTATGTTTTAGACTATGAAGAAATACTTTTCTTTTTGGTTTAAACCATCATTTGTTACTTTACTGCCTATTTGTGGCTCCCACTAATTCGTACAAATACTCCATGAGCACCTCAACTTACACACACAGTAGTAGTGACTGTTTTTGACACCTGCCAACCAAGTAAGACACCAATTAATAGATCACTCCCATCTGCTGCAGCTTGAAGCACCCTTTCTGTCGCTCCTAATTCTCAAGTATCACCAACTGCTCATACTGCACACAAAAATATGTCTGAGGCTTATTGAGGAATGAAAAATTATCACTCGAGCTAGCTGATGACAGATCATTCCAGCTGAGCTGTGCTGCATCCTTGTACATCTGACAAGACAGAATAGACTGCTGTATAGATTTGCGAGAGATTAAACATTCAGGTTTTAAAAGCATATCAGCATAAACACACAGAGCAAAAAGGAGCACTTCACAATGTTAACAAACGAGTACACGGTTACCCATATTGCCTGCTCTGTATTCAACTGCAAAAGCTTCAGAACTGCCCATGCACACTGCAACAGCCTGTGTTTAGGTAATGGTTAAACAATGGTTAAACATCCTATTGCCAATTTCAGTCCTAGCCACAAAGGACTTCTAAAACACAGCCATCATAAAGCTGAAAGAAATTCTCTAAGTGCACATCTCAAATGCATCAATACATGTCGCTTCCTGCATCTCACCTTAAAACAATGTAGACTAGTGCAAATAGAAAGTTCGCGCCTGATCCAGCGTAGTTTTATCAGAGGACATGTTTTAATCTAAAAGCATGGAGAAGCCTATGTTTGCAGACTGATTGTTTTATATTCTTGTCCTGAATCAGTTAAAATCTGACATTCTGGAAATAATATATAAGAACAAATTTTTAAGGCAGAATAATTTTGATCTGCTGCACTCACAGAATTGCACAGTACCTATTTGTGCTAGATTATGTTTTATTTTGCATTCCAGAGGTGTTTTTTCCATCAGTAAATAAAACAGCCTCAATCTGAAGCCTCAATCTGATTTATTCTCATCCTCTGCTACAAGCGATTTGTTGTATAAAATGTTTGCCACTATTTTCCACCACTGAACAAGTTACTTAAAAAATAATCTTCCTAGATAAAGTTTAAGTATCTGCCTGTCAGATTATCTTTCGTTGGCCTCCTGCAGCTAGCATTTCACATATCAAAATATACCCTAAGTATAAGCTCACTGAGACACTGAAGCAGCATGTACTATCTTCTGCTTATCTGATTGATGAAGCTCCCCTGCTGGCTTATGACAAACACTGGCACGTGGCTCAAGGACTGGAGCAAAGCCTCCAGTCTCCACTTGATGTCTTTTGTTACCAAGCAGTGTTTATAAACGGGGCACTAAATTGGGCTGCTTTCTGATCATAAGCAGAAAAATGTGCACATGAACCTTTTGCTGGACACCAGCTTGCCTCCCAAGCCTGTGCAGACCAGCAGCAGCAGCAGCAGGTGTATGCAGAGAGGAACATCCCACCACCCTCTCCTGTCACTGCACACCAGACCAGGCTTCACAAGAGGCACAGCTGGCACCAACCTCTCTCAATGAGAAATGAAGGTGGGAAGAAAGGAAACTACAACAGAGAAGAAAAGAGATGAAATATAAAGTCAGGACTTAGGTTTCAAGGGCAGAAATTGCTACCAGACCAGGAGTAAGTAAAGCATTGGAAAATATTGAAATGCAAGGGAAAGCTTAATCAAAGAAACTCTAACTTGCAGAACAGAACAGCACAAGGAAAAAGAAAGCTAGCTTGCCTCACTTTTCACAGAAGACGTCTATCTCAGCTTTATATTTAAAAGTTTCAAGGAAATGCAACTTCCTCCTGTACTTCTGCCCATGAGTCACATGGGGCAGACAACAGAAACAAGCAGCAGCACCCACCTAGGGCTTTCTGTGACATCTTGGAGTTGTGTTCGTGCAAAACCCATTCATCCCTGCCTGAGATCTGCCCCTCCACCATCACTGACTTTGATTGGGGTTAGGAGAGGAGCAGGGCTCAATCCTGGACTGTTACATCTGCCGGAGCATCTGGCACCATAAACAGATATTACTTTTCTGCTCACTTCTGAAATGTGTTTCTGTTTCTAGGTTTACGGTGGTTGTTGGTAGTTTATTCCTGTAGAGAGTTCTTCTTTACATCTTCATCAGTAACAGAGCATCCAAAAGGTCCAATATGTGCATTACAATTTTCCCGTCAGACAACATTGGCTTTTCAGCCAAGATTTCTGGGTGTGGAAACAAACTACTCAAAAGGAGCACTTGGGAAGGCCTGCACTGCCTTCACTCACTCCTGACCATCTCAGCCATGCCAGCATTCAAGAGGTCAGTGCTCCCACTGCAATGAGATTATGGCTCAACTCTGATGATAAGGAAGGAGCAAAGCAAAGGATGGGCACACCATTTCCCTGCCAGACTAGTGGGTGCTTCCAATTGCCCCAACCTGGTTTTATTGCACTCTATTTTATAGATGTACAAATTGCACCCCAGACAATTTGAGCAACAGCTCCCATCAGAGCCTCAGTAATCAACTTTCTTTAAGCTAAAACACAAGCAAAAATGGGCAAGCAGATCAAGCATGCCTGCGTCAATACATACTGCAGCAAGAGCACATTTACAGTAGTAAGTTATAAGCAAGGAAAACAGGGCATCTCAAGAAAATAAAGACTGGACTCAGGTACAGAACGAAGAACAGAAAAAATACTATCAACATTAAAGTGCTTTAAGACAGCATTTTGGTAGGCTGAGGATCTACCATAGCAATTCATTGATTATTCTGGCTTGCTATACATAAGATATCAGTCCCAGAAATATACTTTTATTGTATGGCAGCATAACTACAAACTTTCACCAGTGTCATGTGCTTAACAGGAAGAAGTCCCAATTCATTAAGCATAACAATAATATAAATAACACTATTACTTGAATGACTTTTATTTATTTTGTTTCTCAGTCACGTAATGAGACTTACAGAGCTTGAAGAAAGAGACAGAAAATACCATTACGAACAGAAAAAAACTGATTTGCCTTTAACTGAAATGAGGCTTTTTTGTATAGCAATTATTTTTAAAAAGCCAAACTGAGAGTTTATTCAAAAAGGTGCTGTCAAAAATAAATGAAAGGTTTTGCTCTTTTTCATTTGTAAATGCAGAATGAAAGCAAAAGATGGGCCTGGGAAGAAGAAGAAAAATGAGAAAGTTTTATATATTTGCAAAGCAGAATCTTTTAAAGGGGATCTGACCTGGAAGTACTTCTGACATGGCTCACGGGGGCGTCAGCAATGCATCAGGAAATAGATTATAATTTGAAATCTGAAAAGAGGGATCATGTAAGAATTAAAAACAAAGGAAAATACAAAATAATCCACATTTCAGAAGCTCCTGAAAGGCTAAGTATTCTAAACAAACTCTGGTAACATAGCAGTGATGATTTCTGGAGTTTTCAAAGCTATTTGCAAAGCATTAAAATATGGGAGATACTAACAAGACCAAGTAATTAAAACTAACACAAACATCACTTTTCTTAATTTATGCTTTACAATAGTCTCCAGTTTTACACAACACATTGCAAGGGGAAAAAAAGGTTAGAAAATCAGGGGTTTTCCCCAGTAATTCTTCCCTTGCTTACTCAGGAAATTACTCCAGCACTGTAAGATAAACCTAGCAGTAAGACATCAACACATGAACAACTTGCACAATAAGACCCAGCACATGAAGCTAGTGAGCACAGTCTGCAGGACTGTGATCCAACAGGAGAGAATTCTAACAAGCAACTGGGTAGCAGCCTCCCGTGTGGGTCTGGCATGGCCATCTCTCTGGAGGTAAGCTATTTTTGCCTTAGGG